CGCGCGAGAGAGAGATGGTTAGAGAGAGCGAGAGTGACGCTCCAACTACAAGAGAACCCGAACGACTCCTGAATCTCTGCTAGCCTGCCGCCTCCGAAAAATAACAGCCGTGTGGCAAGCTAGCAGAGATCTTTGTGGAATTAGACAAAAGTTAGGATCGAGTTTCAAGGGCAGACTAGCAGAGACTCTTGGGGTAATTTTGTAGTGCGAAAAGCAGGCTAGAAGAGTTCGCTGTGAATTTTTTATCCAAAAATAGGTCCGAAGGTTGCATATTAGGGAATTTTGAAAACTGAAGGGTGGGCAAGCTAGCAAAGACCCTTTAGGACCTCAAACCCTCAGGGCTTCCGGAAAAATGCTGGAAAATGGCGGATTTCGGAACCAAAAGTGCCCGCCCGAGGCAAGAAGCCAGAAAGGGTGGCCCTGGGTTGTTTGAGTGGGCCCGACTTCTTTCTGCCTAGCAGGGCTTCAAAACATTTTCGATTCGGAAATATTCATGAGCGCTGCTGTGGGCCTCCTTTCTCCCGAAACAGACAAAAAGATAGAGAGAGAGAGAGAGAGAGAGAGAGAGAGACGCACATACAAGGTATTGGGGGAAGAAGCAACAAAAGATGCTCCTCCTCCTCCCCCTCCTGCTCCCCCCATTCTACGCGCGCCTTCTGCTGTTCTTCTGAAGCTCAAGAAGAAGAAGAAGAAGACAAGAATTGGGGGGGGTGAGGATCGATGGGAGGATGGGAAAGATGCTTTTCCCTCCACCAACCAACACCGCTTTTGCAATGTCAAACATCAGGGCGGTGATGATGAGGATGTCACGAACAGGAAAAGCTCAAATACATCCGGAAGCGCTTTTTCGAGCAAAAAGCAAAATTTGGCGCACACGGAACTCGAACCCGGATCAAGGCAATGGCAAGGGAATGTGAAACCAGTTAGCCATGTTAATTTGGATGCAAAGGCTCTGCTAGCCTGCCGGTCGGTCCCTAAATTCCCCCAATGGCCGCAGCTGGTATGCAAGTTTGCCCGTTCTAGTGAAGAATTTCTCAAATAGCTTCCGCTAGGTTGCTCTGATCACAGAGCATATCCCTAAAGAGTCTTGGATCAGGCTCCCAAATGGTCTCTGCTAGCTTTCCATTGACTCTAAAAAGTAGGCAAAGGCTTTTGCTGCTTCTGACAATAAACCTTTATGGAATCGCTAGCATGCTACGCGAGTTATCTGCTCTTGAAAACGTAATTTTTTTTTTGTTTGACAGTTACAGCCATTCCAAAATGTCTCCGCTAGTCTGCCGAGGGTAAAATCGCGCCAGATTCAGCGGATAACATCATTAATGATCCCTGCTAGCTTGCCAATCCCTTTTCTGGGATCGACCGGAAGCTCGACGCGATTTTAAAGGGATGGTGACAGGTAGGTATTTTCGGGTTACTTTTAGAATGTTGAAATTTCATAATTTCTGCATTTAAATCAGCAAACCTCCAGAAAAAAACCCAAGAATTACTGAAAAAAAATTTCGACATATCGAAATTTTGGCATTAGGAATTTAAAGATTATGAATTTTGATATCCTGATAGCAAATAGCTATTTTTTTTGTCACCACCAATTTAATCTGAAAATTCCTCTGTGCTTTTGGTCTGTATTCCACGTAGTTTCGGTTTTCCAAACGGTGTGGGCCCTGGTGCACAGTTCGTATGCCCGGTTTTACGACAGACCGGCTCGGGTGTAATTGAGGCTTTAGCCCCCTGTAGGGACCTCCCTTTCTCCCTCTCTCTCTCTCTCTCTCTCTCTCTCTCTCTCCCTCACTCTCTCTCTACACACAAAACTGTGCAATGATTCGTATGATCCCCGTCGATGCGCAAAACGTTGTGAGCCGATGATTCCGTAAATCGAGAGATACCCGTTTAGGGCCTTTATTTTCACAGACCGGATCTTGCCCACCCACCCACCTGTCGGATTCTGAATGTAGCATTTTACTGCAAATCCGGCAGTATAACTTAAGGGGTAGAAAAGCCGAATTTCCTAAGGAACCTCTGTTGGCCTGCCAAGGAGGTCCACTCGGTTGCTAAATGGTCTCTGCTAGTTTACCATAGCCCTGTTATCATGCTTTGAATTCACAAATAATCGCTGCTAAACCGCCAGCTGAATGACTGGTTCCTAAATGGCTATAAGAATTTCTCAAGATGTTCTGACAGCTTCCCTGGTGGTTGACCTACTCAAAATCTTAAAACATCTCTGCTAGCTAGCCTGATTGCAGCCCTTACTGGATCCCCAACAATCTCTGCTAGCTTGCCATCCCATTTTCCAAAGCCACGCCAAGTTATCCCGTTTCCAATTCTTAAATGATCTCTGCTAGCCTGCCAGGTCACACTCACCTTTCCTTGAGTTGCGAGAGTAAAGATGTGTATCCATTTCCATTCTCCTCCCCTTCCCTTCCACCGCATATAAACGTTTTCATAGCCCGAGGGCACAATTTCTCAATTGTGTGTGTGTGGCAGAGTTGAAGAGGATGAGAGGGACAGTTTCTCTCTCTCGCTCTCTTTCTCTCTCTCTCTCTCCCTCTCTCTCTATCTCTCTCTCTCGCTCTGTGGTTGAATGTGAAAATACGGCCTTTCTTTCCCGGCCAACCGCAGCCGTTCCGCTTTTTTGCCTGAAAAATAAATTTGACTGTGGGTTTTTGAGGGCAGGCTAGCAGTGACCATTTGGGAACGGCCGCTAGGGGCAACCAACAGAGATCATTTGGGATTTTAAAGGTAGCTGCAAGCTAGCAGAGCCTATCTGAGAAAGGTGCACTTCGGGGCAATCTAGCGGAGGCCATTAGGGAATTTTCGGGTTGTCTCGGTAAGGAGTAGAGACGATCGAAAGACATTGATGTTTTTGGCAGTGTAGCAGGGGTCAGTTGAGAATTTTTACATCAAGTAGCAGTCTAGCAGCGACCATTTGGGACTTCAACGAGTTCGAGCTTCCGCCGAACTTCTTGAAGAAGTACAGTCCAGAATTCAGTATGCACTATTTCAAGGGGGGTATAGTTGAGTGGGTGGTGGGCAGGGGGAGGTGTATTTGAGATGACCGCTTATTCTCCTCCCTCCCCGCCTGCTCCCCTCTCATCCTCAGCTTCTCCTCCTCCTCCCCCTTCCCCTGCCAGTTGTGGTTTTGCGCATCTTCCGCTTTTCCTCTTCCTCCAATTCCCCCATTCCCGATCATCATCATCATCACATTTCAGCGGTCAAAACCCATTCTCCCCCCTCTAACTCCGATTGCTTGTCTTTCAAGATTTATGCCGGACAATGTGATACGGTTTACTGTACGAAATTCTAATCGGCTATAATCTCTGCTAGTTAGTCTGAACTATTCGATCTTTTCCAATTGCTTCAAGCAGTACGACCCGGCTCACGGCACGAAATATGCATCCGCAAAGGATCTCTGCTCGTTAGCCTGAAGTTTACGTCCTAAATGATCTCTGCTAGACTGCCATTATTTCGACAAATCCGTCGACTTTTCTTGATTTCCTAAATGATCCTTGCTAGCATGCGCTTGATTTTGCCGAGATTCCTCACAGATCCCTGTTAGTTTGCCCTACTCGAGTATCTGTTTTTCCCCAATTCCCCTAAATCATCTCTGCTAGCCTGTCAACAGCTGCCACGATTCCACAATTAACTCTGCTAGCTCGTGTTTGAAAACGCAAAAACTTTTCATCCAATTTCCAAGTGATCTCTGCTAGCCTGCCCGCCGCAAGCCTCCTCCCACAGAAATTTCTGCTAGATTGCCCCCCCCCCCCGGTCCTGGTCCGTCACATGCTTCCCCGCTTCTTAAATATCCCCGGCAAGCCTGCCCCCACGTTCAGGGGCGTAGCCAGAAAAAAATTTCGGGGGGGGCCCCGAAAAATTTTTTCCAAAAAACTCAAAACATTGCCGAAAAAATAGCGCCGCAGGCAAAAATTTTTGCAAAAAAGGTTGCATAGCTCTACAAATAGCCGTAAAAAAGTTAAAAATTAGCGCCGCAGGCAGCAAAATTTTTGAGAAAATAAAAATCATAAGGGTCCCCCCTTATGAAATTTTCGGGCCCCGGCCGATTTCGGGGGGGGGGCCCCGGGCCCCCGGGGCCTGTATTACGCTACGTCCCTGCCCACGTTCCTTCGAATTCCCAAGCGATCTCTGCTAGCTGGCCCCTTGAATTTTCCAGGTTTTCCCAAATTCCCAGGGTCAAATTGGGTGGTGATGGTGCTTAAAAATCGAGCGTAAAAAGGAAAGTGTTGGCATTGGCAGATCGGCGGAGGGGGAGGCTACTTGTAATATTTGAGACACGAGCCTCGACCTTGCTACACACAACATTCTCGACACTTCTTCTACTTGCTACTTGAGCTCGGTCTCTCTCTCACTCTCTCTCTCTCTCTCTCTCTCTGTCTCAATCTCTAGCTCTCTCGCTCAGGCCATGCCTATCCGTCCGCTTCTCCTGGCATTTTGAAGTGGACGAGCAAAAAGGAACGCGAGGTTACTGTCCTGGCAGTCAGCATATAATCTACTGGCCAGGCGGTAAATTTTATATTTGCATACGTCATTTTGGCATTTAAATGGGTATTAAAGGGAAGAAGTAGAAGTTAGCTACATACCAACTAGCAGGGATCCTTTAGGAAGCAGGATTCACCGAAAACCATAAGAGCCTGGCTTCCTAGTCCCTTTAAGCCCAATTTTAGCGGCAACTAGCAGTGATTCTTTAGGACTCGGCCTACTTCTTGTCAAGAAAATCCATAATATCCGGGCTTCCTTGTTCCTTTAAAAATATAATAGGTTGAAATTCCTGGCAAGAACAAGTAGAAACCCTTTAAGAAAACCCGGAAAATTGAGCACGTCGAAAAACCGGAATCCGAACTTGCGTGTCCCCTTAAAACCACCGACTTTTGACACTGACACGAATTTTTGCTCGTCACATTCCCTTTAAAATCCCATTGCTAATTTTATTAGTTTTTAGTTTTTCTCTGAATTCTCTAAATCTCGCCCCATCCACCGTAACCCTCTAGATGAAGCGGCTCATCCCCTTTTGCTACCTACTAGCCATCGGATCATCTTTGCCGATACAAGAGGTGACTTTAGCGGGCCTGTAAAATGCAAATTTCTCTCGTTTCAGACCTGCCAATACAGTAGCCCAAATGTGACGATAACCTGGGAATTCAATGCCGCCTCTTCCAGCATATATTTCAGTCTGAATGCCCAGAGGGCGCAGGATGACTATTGGACGGGCATTTTCTTCCAAAAGGTTGGTGACAGGCTTATTTTAAAACGGAAAATTTTTTCTCCAATAAAATGAGTTTTTAGTGATAAGAAAATCGTTTTTAGATGCTAGGAACCTGCTTTCAAGCTGGAAAAACTTGCTGTCACCTCCCTTTAAACCCCCCATAATCGAAGGGCTGCAGTTATGCAAATTTTCCTGCGATTTTTCCCGTTCTCCGCCCGAGCCCCGTTCCCAAACCGTCAGTCGCATTGAATCAATCGAGATCCGCTTGAGATGGGCGGCTTTGCCCCTGAAATGCCACCCGTTCGCCCAGAGTATTTAAACAGAATGGCGGGGGAATGGCCGGATTCCGATCGGCACCAAAAAACGGATGCAAAGAGTTTGGTTGCGGAACATGAGAGGGTGGAGAGAGAGCGAGAGAGAGAGAGAGAGAGCTAGAGAGAGAGAGAGAGAGAGAGAGAGTTATAGTTACGGAGGTGCACTTCAGGATTTAATAAATAACATCAAGTTCGGGCAGGCATGCAGAGGTCCATTTGTGAATTTCTGGCCCGACGTAAAAGCGTCTAAAGGGCGGGTTACTAGCAAAGATTCGTTAGGATACAATGGCAGGCTAGCAAAGATTTTTGGGAATTCATCTGTTGGAGGACTACATCCCAGATCCGAATATCTAATTAGCATACGCTACATTTCCGGTTCTATTGTCCCCCATTTATCGATGCTCCCCCTCATTGTTCTGTATCTTTCCCCCACCGCTTGGTCTGCCCTCACCTGGAATAAACCTTTCGTCTACCTCACCCACAACTACAACAACTGGCGAGCAAGGATTCGAAGACATGGCCGACCCCGAGATCAAGGCTCTGATGCAGCAGATGACGGCGATGATGGCTGCAGGACAGGAGCGTGAGAAGAAGATGGAGGCGCAGCTCGAGGCCTACCGCGCTGCGACCCAAACGCACATGGGCACAGTTAGCGAAGACCCTCTGGGTAAATCCGCAGGTCCAAGCCATCCCAGGCCTCTGGATGCGGTCGAGCTGAGCGCCCTTTGCTCACGACTCGTTCGGTTCGACTATGATCCATCCCAGGGTCTTACGTTCGAAAAGTGGCTCGAGAGGTTTGATAACCTCGTGTCCACGGAACCGCGCATCACTGAGGATAACAAGAAACACCTTGTTCTCAGTATGCTGGATGGCAAAGCCTATAGCCTCCTAGCGGATCACGAAAGACCAACGGAATTGTCTGCCGTGAAATATCCCGACATGATCAAGTCGCTGACAGACATGTTCGGTGAGAAAATGTCGCAGTTCAGTCGACGTTTTCTGGCATTCCGTGTGGCCAAAGCAGCCGACGAGGATATGCACTCCTACGCAGCACGCGTCAACAAGCTGTACGAGCTTGGTCGTGTCAAGGAGATGAACGAGGACGAGACGAAATGTCTGTTGTTCGTTGCTGGACTTTCCGATCAGGAAAATCGAGATATCCGCAAGAGACTGTTGCACATTCTGGAGTCAAAGAATGGTGTCAAGTTGAGCGATTTGCTACGCGAATGCGATATGCAAAGTTCCCTGAATATGGATATGGTCGTTGAGCAGAATATGCAAAATGCCAACGTGAACCGGGTTCACCAGCAATCGGGTTTCCGAAAGAAGTGGAAACGCGAGCGAGAGTCAACCTCTAGCAAGGGTTACTCGTCGCGACCGGAAACCAATGATCGGTTCCCGCGAGACAAGCGGAATGACAACTGTAACCGTTGTGGAAAGAGCGGACACTGGGCAAGAGAGTGTCGCGCAGACCCTGGCAATACCCGCGGTGCTAATTTTTCAAAGTCGAAAAATCACCAAGCCAAAGACTGGAAGCCGAAGGTGAACATGGTTGTTCATATCAATGCCGTAGACTCGAGTCGGAAAGACGTCGAGATCTCAATCGAAGGCGTTCGCTTCACTTTGCAATTGGATACTGGTGCAGCAGTCACCATCATCGATGAAGCTGTTTGGCGCAAATTGAACTGCCCCCAGCTGATTCCATCCAATATTCAATTACGCGCTGCAAATGGCGGTCCAATTGAAGTGCAAGGAAGCTTCGATACCAATTTCGAAGTGAAAGGCATTGTCGGTCATGGCAAGTGCTTTGTCACGAATAACATCAGATTGATGGGGCTTGATTGGATAAATCAATTGCCACAGTTCGCTTCGTGCTTCGATGAGTTGTGCGTGAACAAGGTCGCACTGAAAGAGTCAATGCTCGAGAAGGAGCTGGTCCTGAAGTACCCAAGTGTCTTCCAAGATGGACTGGGCTTGTGCACAATGGCCAAGGCTGAGCTTCAGCTGAAGCCTGATGCAAAGCCAGTTTTCCTACCGTTCCGACGGGTCGCGTATTCAATGGAAGCTGCCATTGAGAAGGAAATCGACCGACTTGTACAGTTGACGGTCCTCAAACCGGTCACTTACAGTCAGTGGGCCGCGCCCGTCGTACCAGTCAAGAAGAAGGACGGTACCATGAGACTTTGTGGTGACTTCTCCACAGGCTTGAACGAGGCGTTGGAGGATTACCATCATCCGCTCCCAACCGCCGAAGACATCTTCACCAAGCTGAATGGTGGACAGATCTTCTCGCAGATTGATCTGAAAGATGCGTACCTACAGATTGAGGTTGAGGCTGATAGCCAAGAATACCTGACAATCCACACTCATAAGGGCTTGTTCCAATATCAAAGGCTGATATTTGGAGTCAAAACAGCACCCGGAATATTCCAGAAGATCGTGGATAACTTGATCGCAGGCCTGGACGGGACCGCTGCCTACCTGGATGATCTGTTGATCACCGGCCGGAACCAGGAGGAGCATGACGACAGGGTCCGTCGTTTATTTGAGCGAATCCAAGAGTTCGGATTGCGCGTCAAAATGGAAAAGTGCTCGTTCGGCCAGCCTTCGGTGAAGTATCTTGGCTTCATTCTTGATGCCCAAGGCCGAAGGCCGGATGGCCAACGCACGGCTGCGATAGCAAGTATGCCATCACCTACCTGTCTAAAGGAAGTTGAGAGCTTCTTGGGCATGGTATCATTTTACCAGTCATTCATTCCTCGTATGCGGCAGATGCGCGCCCCGCTTGACGAGTTGAAGAGGAAGGACAAAAAGTTTGTCTGGCACGAGGACTGCGAAAAGGCTTTCCAGTCGCTCAAGGAGATTGTCATCTCCGACTTGTTGCTCTGTCACTATGACGCCAAGTTACCCATTGTCGTCGCCGCTGATGCCAGTGAGCAGGGTCTTGGGGCGGTCATCACTCACAGATTTGCGGATGGGTCGGAAAAGGCCATCGCGCATGCCAGCAGGGCATTGAGTGTGGCAGAGAAGAACTACAGCCAGATCGAAAAGGAAGGCTTGGCCCTCATTTTCGCGATTCGGCGCTTCCATCGATACATCTATGGAAGGCGTTTCGTGCTCCTGACGGACCACAAGCCCCTTTTGCCAATATACGGGTCGAAAAAAGGCATTCCGCAGCACACCGCAAATCGATTGCAGCGTTGGTGCTTGTTGTTGAACAACTACGATTTCTCCATCGAATATCGTAACACGACCAAGTTCGGTCAAGCGGATGCGCTTTCCCGTCTGATTCCGCCAAAAGCTGAACCTGACGAAGACGTCGTTATTTCGCAGATAGAAATCGACGTATCAGCAGTTTTTGAGGAAAAACTGAGCCGAGTTCCAATTTCGCACAAGGAAATTGCATCACATACGGAGCAGGACTACCATCTTGGCTCTGTGATTGACCATCTGAAAAGTGGAACGTTCCCAGACTGTTTGCCAGGCTCGTCTTTGTACGCCTTCAAAAGTCTTGTTTCCAACTTATCAATTCACAAGGGTTGCCTATTCTTGAAAGAGCGAGTTGTCGTCCCGAAAAGACTTCAATCGCGTGTCCTGAAAATGCTCCACGAAGGACATCCTGGCCAGACCAGAATGAAACTCCTTGCGAAACAGTATGTCTATTGGATCGGCATGGATACAGACATCGACCGCATTGTCCGAGAATGCGAGGGCTGCCAGAAAGCGCAGAAGATGCCTGTGAAAAGTGAATTGACCCCCTGGCCTATTCCCAATCGTCCGATGGAACGCGTACATATTGACTACGCAGGTCCCATTGACGGGAGAATGTACCTGGTAGTCGTTGATGCCTACTCTCGTTGGCCAGAGATCCACGATTGTAAGGTCGCGACCAGTCGTACGACGATTGCCCAGTTGAGAGACATCTTCTCAAGGTTCGGAGATCCGGAAACGCTTGTTTCGGACAATGGGACTCAATTCACTTCGAAGGAGTTCGAAGAGTTCTGTATGGAGCGTGGCATAAAGCATGTACGCACGCCTCCGTTCCACCCTCAATCGAACGGTTTGGCAGAACGCTTCGTCGATACCTTTAAGCGTGCCTTGAGCAAAGCCGCTGGTTCGACGAATGCGGAAACGTTGCAAGTCTTTTTGCGAACGTATCGGGCCACTCCATGCCCCTCTTCGCCACAACAGTTCTCTCCGGCTGAATTGTTTATCGGGAGAAAGCTTGTTACTCCTATTGCGCGTTTGGCTCTTCCATCGAGCAACGGCAATGTCCAAGTCGTTCTTCAAAAAGAGGAGAAGACGACGATGGTTGAGCAATACAACCGGCGTCACGGTGCTCGCAAGAGATCGTTTGAGATCGACGCCACGGTTTGGGTTCGCGACTATCGAAAGCCGAACAAACCAGCCTGGGTCGAAGGGCGTATTTCCAAGCTACTTGGAAAGTCTCTGTATGAGGTTGAGCTTCCCTCTGGAGATTCTTGGCGCCGACATGCCAATCAGCTGCGTCGTCGATACGTTCGAGACGTATTGCACGATATTCTGGATGAATTCGATCTTCCCAGTACTGATGTCAATGTGCAGGACACTCGTCCACCTCTTGACTATTCCAACCACATGTCGACGGCCACCGATACCACATCTGTTGTACCCGCCCCCACTCTTGATGTACCTGTGCCCCGTGTTCCCCATCACCCCGCTCAACACCACACCATCCCGGATACGAAGACCTCCCCTGGACGCACCACGAAGACGTCATCGGATCGAACCATCCCGGACAAGAAGGCCTCCCCTGGACGCACCACCAAAGCGTCACCGGATCGCACCAACTTACGTGCTCAAGGACAACCCACTGCTGACGGACAAGCTGAAGACGTTCAACCTCGAAACGTCAAGTCCAAGGAGTTGCAAAACCTCGGACCCATTCTCGACGGCAAGCGCGACCGAAAGAAGACTGTTCGCTTCCAACTTTGATGCGCCACGCTCGTGTTCCACTCGACAAGTCAAGCGCATCCACATCACCGACAAGTTCAATGGTCCCACGCTGATGTGCCACACTCGTTCCGCACCTCAAGTCAAGCCGTCATCGCCACCTCAAGTTCAACTCGTTCAAGTCCGACTGTCCGCAGCGCTCATCTTTGAAGGAGGGAGATGTTGGAGGACTACATCCCAGATCCGAATATCTAATTAGCATACGCTACATTTCCGGTTCTATTGTCCCCCATTTATCGATGCTCCCCCTCATTGTTCTGTATCTTTCCCCCACCGCTTGGTCTGCCCTCACCTGGAATAAACCTTTCGTCTACCTCACCCACAACTACAACATCATCTATCCACAAGGCGATCTGGCCGGGACCATTGCGGAAGCTCCTTTTCAAACCCTTTCTCAAGCTCAACCCGCTAATTCCAGTCCGAAGCTGTGATCGCGTACGTCCAGGGCGGAGAGCCGCGACAATCCTCTGCACATCTCGAAGGGGATGAAGTAGGTCAAATGCCCATAAAAAATTATTTCTAAAAACCGTTAAAATCACGTTTTATAGGTTATCCTGGATGCCGAGCAGCGAGTGGATTTTGTATCTGGCACCTCGCCAAGTCTCCAATCCACCTCTATCATTTCTGAATTCACCAAACGACTTGATGACTTTGAAGAAGGGGCTTTTGATGCTGATGGGTGCTTGGTATGCTAAAAATCGAGCAAGATATCAAAAAAATTTAGACGATCTCGTTCCCGGGTACGGTACTCCCGATCTCATCCACTGGAAACTTGATTGTTCCGGAAACGGTAGGAATTTTTGGAGGGAAGGCTAGCAGAGTTTCTTGAGGAACGAGAGAGACAGAGAGAACGAGAGAGAGAGAGAGAGAGACAGAGAGAGAGAGAGAGGCAAAAGCTCTAAGGCAAGTTAGCAGAGATTTTTGGGGAATCCAGCAAAATTCGGGGCGGGCTAGCAACAATTTTTAAGGAATACACTCCCATTTTAAGTCCAGGTAATACAAGAGAGATAATTGAGGGCCTCAATGCCATTTCAAGGCATGCTAGCGGCGATCATTGGGTATTCCTAATCCCCATTTTCAGCTCTCCCAATACCGTATCTGCAACATCGAGTCATCCTGCCAGAGTGCCACTGCCTCAAAGGCATCTGGGGAAAAGGAGCAGATTTTAGGTAATTAACCCTGACCCTTGGGGAACTACAGCACTGCAGAAATGGACGGTGGAACCATCCTGTTTTTGGGGATGAGGGCACGAAAATTGACCACGATTTGCGAGTTGTTTACCCGACCTCAAGAGTCCGTGTTTTTTTGGGGGGTTCAGAGGGTTGTGGCGCAGGTGGAACTGGGCTAGGGGGCTAAAATCAATCTTCATCGCAATCTTAAAAAGTTGCTTTAAAAATGCTAGAATAGGCGTGACGGTACAGCAGCGCGTCCAGCTTATGGGCGAGGCAGGCTAGCAGTGGCCATGCGGAAATTCTTAGGCCAAGGGGCAGGCTAATTGTAAGGGAAACCGTTAGGGAATCTCCAGAACCGACTGGTTTCAGATATCGTAAAACGCGACAACTCGGCCAAGGGCCCAGTATGCAATTGGATGGACGGCTCGAACACCGTCCACTGGGAAGCCGTCCCCAACGGCATCAAGTTCAAGTGGGTCAGCTCATCTACATATCACACTCCCCGTAAAATTCCAGCATCCAGGCCGACGTCAAGAAGGGCAAGTACTGGACGGCGATTGCTGTCGGGGAGAGCATGGGGGTGAGGACGAAACCGAACTGCTTGAAAACGCTGGAATTTTTAGAATTTGAAAATGGCTGTTGCTTTTACGGATGGGAACAAGGTGAAGCAGGTCGGAGGGTATACTTCTAGCGGGTGAGTCTGGATCTGTAGATGATTGCCTCCCACTCCTTCGCTCTCTCCTTCTCTCTCTCGCGCTCTCTCTCTCTCTCTCTCTCTCTCTCTCTAACTCTATCTATCGCTTTTTCCAGTTGGCAACCCCCAGCCAAAGCCAAAGATCTCAAAGTGACCCTCAACAAGAAGGGTGTGAAGGCGATCGACAGCAAGCTGAGCTACGAGTTCATCATGCCGGCCGACGTCTTCAAGGCGGTGGTACGGTAGCTGGGTCACATTTTAGCATGGTTTTAGGATTCTGACGGTTGCCTCACCCTTCAATTCGGCATCAACGCCGGGCAGTACGCCGGAAATTTCCAGATTCACAAACATGAGGCCACGCCAACACCGATGCAGGCAGGTTTAAAGGGACTGGGAAGACCGAAAATCTCGATTTTCCCCGCGTAATCGATTAGATATGGGCATATGGTTTCTGGTTTTCTTAAAATGAGGAAAGTTTTTTCTTTTTCAGCGCGTAATCTATTGCCAAATTTTTAGAAGATGGGTTGTGGGTCCCTTTACAAGCGCCGCTTTTGAAATTTAACTTTTTTTAGGTTTGCAACATCCAAAAATGCAGCGCCGACGATGCCGCGTCTCCCGCTGGTAAGCATATACAAAACGTCGTTAAAAATCTTTGCTAGCTGGCCATAGGTTTCCCGGAATTCCGAAATTGCCTCCGCTAGTTAGCCTCGGCTCATCCAAGATGATCTGCGCTAGCAAGCCTTTGGCTTTTCCCAAATTACCCCTGCTAGCTTGCCCTTTCTCAGCTAGCTGCTTATTGTCTCTTTCCTCAATGATCTAGGCTAGTTAGCCATCCTTAAGGATCTTTGCTAGCTGCCCGGCTACTCTTTCCTCAAAAATATCTGCTAGCTGCCTAGAAATTTTCCTCAAGAATGTCTGCTAGCAGCCCCATCTCCATTTCCTCACTGGTATCGCTTTCTGACTTTCCTCAGGCCTCTCTGCTAGCGGGCCCAAATAGTGATCGCAAGAGTCGAAGATAAGACCTGCTACGTATCCCAATTTATTTCCTAAAGAAATCTTCCTGCTAGCCTGTTCTTACTCTCAAAAAGCTTCCAAATAGTCTTCCCTTTTTAGAAACCGTCGAAGAAGGTTCGGGCGCCGTGGAAGAGGGCTCCGGCGAGGTGAGTTTTATTAGTGTGCCGTGTACAGCTTGGTGTTGTTGTGCAGCTACCTCCACAGCCTGCTTCCACGCCCGCTTCCCCGCCATCTTCACAAGCTCCCCAGAATCCTGGTGGCTTGTTGGATTTGCTTGGTGGCTTGGGAGGGAATGGTGTCACGCCCCCTTAACCCCTCCCCCAAGAACGGCGAACCCGTTCGACCCTTTCGGGGAGATATTGGGGAATATTGGAGTGACGGAGAGGAGGGATGATCCGCTGAACGTCACGATGACGTCGGCTACGATAGCTGCGATTAGTGCATCGAATGAGGTGGTGGTAAAAAACGCTTTATAGCTTTATATTTTACTTTTTGGGTTTTTCTTTGGGAATTCTGAAGGAATAAAGACAAAATAGCGAAGAAAATTTGCAAAATTTGGGCTAGCTAGCAGAGATCGTTTGGGACATCCCAATCTAGTTCTGTTCTCAGTCCCTTTAAGCCACTTTGTTCATGATTCTAGACTCGGGATTCCCAATCTATTTATTTCCTTTTTTTTGCAACGGGCCTTGGTTTGCTAGATTTTGCACGTTTTACGCTGTATTTCTCTCTCTCTCTCTCTCTCTCTGTCTCGCTGTCTCTCTCACATTCTCCCTCTTTCTCTCGCTCTCTCTCACACACCCACCGCAACCAAAAAGTCCCTCTAACGCATGCCGCTTTAGCCTAACCATGATCCGGTGGTGGCCAGCTCGGCGGCTAATCCAAATGTTGCTTCATCGGTTTCCGCTTCGGCGGCACCGGAAGCACTACTCACCAGTCCGGCTGAGGTATATCAACTATAAAGGCATGGGAATACGCAAAAAGCTATTAATGCCCGGAAAGGTCGCAGGCTTGCAGAGGAACCCAAAAAGCCACGCATTTAGGTGAAAGCGACCACCGAGAAGCCGGCCGAAGTTGTCGTCACGACTGAGGTAATTCAGAATTTTAATTTTTAGCAGCTGTTTTAGTGAATACCTATATTTATTTTTGCAAATTTCCAGCTGTTTTTGTGTTATTTTGATTGATATGATTTGTTTCTTAGCCACAAACGGGTGACTTTTTCACGACGGCCCGCCCGGGACTACGGGTTGTGAGCTTTTATTTTGATGCTCACCGTTTTGCTTTTTTGCTTGTAATGAGAGGAAGAGAGAGAGAGCGAGAGAGAACGAGAGAAGAAAAAAAAAAAAAAAAGAAAAAAAAAAAAAAAAAAAAAAAAAGAGCCAGAGAAAACGGGAGAGAGAGAGTGTGAGAGAGAGAGAGAGAGCGAGAGATAGATGGAGAGACGCTAAGACTTTTGAGCTTTGAGTGTCATTAGTGTGTGTTCGTTTTTTACACTTTTTATGTGTGATTCTCGTAATTTTGTATTTTTATTACGCTTTTTTGCTTTTTTTGCGTGTTTCATTGTGGAAGAATTGGCTGTGGAAAGTTGAGTTTCCGTATTCGGTCGAAAAGCATTAAATTTTTTACCGTAATCTAGCCCCAAAAATTCCAGCCAAGTCTCCATCCATTCCTTAAACCATCCCCCAGCTACCGTACCCCTACCCTGTCAATTTCAGCAAAATTCCGGAGCCGTCTCCCCATCATCATCTGGTGGTGAACTAGGGCCGTTGGACGAGTCGAAGACGTCGGGATCCGGATCGAGCACGAGGAGTAGGGATTCACAGAAGAATTCAAAACCTAAAGAAGCCCCAATGTTGGGTGGATTCCTTCGGGTTGATGATCGACCGGAAATGGCCATGAATATACAATCGAATAATGGCCCAGAAAAGGGCCATAATAGAGCGTTCACAGTACAACGCGTACTTCCAGTCACCGTCCATCCATGCAAACAAGGCCATACTGATCTGAGGGTTTGCCATGGATACTTTGCTGACTACCTGGGAAAGGTGAGTTGCGTTCGAAAAAAATCACTGTATTTTTGTAGTTTGTAGTCGGAAAATTTTTTAATTTGTATATTTAGTCTATGTTTTGTTACAATTTCGATCATAAATATTCAAAAATTAAAAAGTTACAAATGAAAAACTAAATTCGGGGAGGCTTTTTGGCTAGTTAAAAAATACCGTAATTTTGTAGTCTGTAGTCGTCAGACTGGCTTAAGATTTATATCACTAATGCATTAAGCTATAAACTATATCTAGGCCAAATTTAATGCCAAAATACCGAAAAATCAAGGGAAAATCGTTGTCATTTTGTAGTTTGTAGTCAAACTTGGCTGAAAATTGTATCACTAATGCATTAAACGATAAACTACATCTTGAAAAATTTAAAACAAAAAATTCCAAATCATGCTTGATTTTTGGTTTTTTTGGCGCAGTTAAAACCGTGAAATTCCTGAATTTGGTAAATAAATATTCTTTAGGTAGAGCAATGGGCGCAACGGCATGGCGAGACTGTTGGGGCACAGTTGTGGAAGGTAAAAAAAGTTCAGGAGGGCGGCACGGAGCTGGTGGTGGTGATTTAGAGTTTTTAAAAAGGAGGCGCATGGATGTGATAAGTGAGAGCGAGAGAAAGAGAGAGAGAGGGAGAGAAAGCGAGCGAGCGAGAGATAGAGAGACTGTTGGGAGAGCGAGAGAGCGAGAAAGAGCATGAGCGAGAGAGCGAGATAGAGAGCATGAGCGAGAGAGAGAGAGCATGAGTCCAAGAACGAGAGAGCGAGATAGAGAGAGCACGAGCGAGAGAGAGAGAGAGAGCGACCTTTGACTTCATTTCCCAAAATTCCATGATGCTCCTTTAAACCTTTTAGTAGCCAACGTAACCCTGTATCCTATATAACCATTTTAACACAGGCTCACTTCGGGTATATCACTGGTGGCAGGTATCACCCCTACGAGTTACAGTACCCCCCATCCACCGGGTCACCATTTAGGCGTGTTCCCTCCTTGCGGGTGTGCAGCATGTGCCGACAATGTGCTGCACCGAGTTCCACTCCACTTGCCGCGAGTTCATCCAGGATGAATAGGCTTCCAAAAATGCCAAGAACCCTCGAAAAATACCGACAACCCCGAAAATTCCTCACAAATCAAAGTCCCAAACTTACCTTTCAAATTTTTTAATTTTTGCGATTTTTTGCATGTGTTCCGCTATGAAACAGGTCTAAATATCTGCTTTCCAATTTCCTTCTAAAAATTGCCCCTCTACCGTATATTTATTCCCCGCTCTCGCTAGTTAAAAAATTGGACGACTTGTAGCTTTAATTTTCCCCATTTTTGCGTGTGTGTATTTTGTGCCTTGCTGAATAAATCGATCAATGAATTTTGCGTCTTTTAGTTCGAATTCCGCAAAGTATCTCCGCGAGTTGGCCCCATTAAATTGCTGGGGCCCCAGTTTTCGCAAAGAAGTTCTGCCCGCTTGCCTCATTATTTTCCTTCCATTCTGTTTTATCCTGTGGCTTTTGAATTTTTCTGGAAAAATTGTTAAAATGTTGGTTATGTAATTGTGAAATTTTCACTTTTGCAAAGAATCTCTGCTAGATGGCGCTAAAATTCTGTTTACCAGAACCTTTCCTGCATTTTCAGTTTCCTAAAGGTTTTCTGCTAGCTTGCTCTCAATTTGCTGATGTTTAATTCTTAATTTCAAAGCTTCAGCGATGAGTGAGAGCATTTGACGCTCATTCCGTGGAATTTTTTAGCACTTTCTCTCTCTCTCTCTCTCTCTCTCTCTCTCTCTCTCTCTTTCTCTTCCCATCGCGCTCCTCTTTCTCGTAGTTTTTAGAGGAGATGAGCAGTGATTTTCGACTTCACGTCAACCCTTGGACTTGAATATTTAGGTGCGGTTCTCGGGGATTTTGAAAAGAGGCGGTAGAGTGGAAGGTGATCTAGGTAACTTCGCATTCTTTTGAAGGATTTGGGCGCCGAGATCTCAAAAAATCAGCAGAAAACAGTCGGGAATGAATTACAGAAATAGCCAGAGCAGGATAGGCGCTGGATAGGATACATAAGCTATTGATAGAGGCAAGCTAGCAGAGATTCCTTAAACTCTCAATGTCGATATTTTTATCTCGCCGTTTTGCCTATCCCCTCTGTTTCAATTTTAGAATTCGGCTCTTTGTCCTTCCCACCCATTGTGTTGTGCCCTTTCCCCCTCCTTCTTGTCCTCCTCCTCCCTCTCATTAATTATTCCATTGAAAAGGCGGGGGTGGCCAATGTATTTTTATGTTCTTTAATCCCAAAAAAGGTTCGAATGGGCGAGGGCGAGAGCTGCATAATTGGCTTTCGGCCCCAACGGCTGACCACCTTTTTTTCTGATGGCCAAGGGGGAGGAGGGGAGGAGGAGGTGGCCTACGGGAGAATCCAATTTCCGTGGTCGGCAAACACCAATTTCAAGCCCTTTCCGACTAGGCTTGACAAGGTTTGATCCGGAAATGGGGAGCTGATTGCTTCAGGTATGGGCCCTCGGGTCTAGTTGCTTCCGGATCAGACGATCTAAAGGTCTGAAGGGAAAGCGAGAGAGAGAGAGAGAGAGAGAGAGAGAGAGGGGGAGGGAGAAAGAGGGAGAGAGAGAGAGAGCGGGAGATAGAAGAAGAGTCAGGGATAGACAAAGAGAGAGAGATAAATTTTCGAATTCAAATCAAAAATTATCTTCCAGTAGCTCAACCAGTTTTTCGCAATTTTCGGGGCTAGCTAGCATGGATCGGCTGGGATTCGCAATTCTATTATTGCAAAATTATGGCAACGGCCGCATTAGGTAGACCAGCAGAGATCCCTGGGCAACTTTCCGGACCCACTTCCGCTTTTAAGCAAATACATAATTCAACCAGAAGCTTGTACGTTTTTTGGTAATTTGTATACTTGTTCCCGCCATCCCCTTTGCCTCCATTTCGTGAGAAGTCTTCTTGTGTCTGGAGGGCCCCCGGCAGCCAATGAATTTTTTAGCGGGCCAGCGGAGCAGGGCGCGGGACTCGGGCATTAGCGAAAAGTCACGGAGACCAATATGAGACGAGACAATTCAATGATCACACTTTCAAGTGGGGTAAGATCACATTAAATGGACTGGGAATGCGGGAATGTTATCACGACTTCAGCGCCCCTTAAAAACGCTTAAAAGTAAGATTAAAAATGAAAGCAATAAGACTACTTCCTTAAATTAACGTGTCGTAATTAATGAGCTATATCCAGTCGTAATCAAATATCGATTTCACGGCGTAATCGATTAGCTATTTCGAAACCATAATCGATTTTAGGCTTGTCGATATATCTGTAGAACCTAATGGATTTACTTGTCATTACATCCTTCCATTAATGCGCCGAGGTAAAGCCCGCACAAAAAACATGGCGTAGTCTATTAGTACTTTTCAAATTATTATTCAAATTTTGCCGTTTTCCAGTATTCTTTTCCTGTCGTAATCGATGCCATCCTTCAAAAATTTAGCCACTTTTCATTCAATTTGGCTAAAACGACTACGCTCCGATACAATTTACACTTCCAGACTACGACAACACAAAAACTGCTATACTCGATGTGTTATCTGTTGCTCGGGAATTCACTGAAACCCGATCCCCTCTACTACTAATCCAGGAATAAGCCATCAGCCCCCAGGAAATCCAAAACCCAGCCACCAGCCTTTCCTTGTCTATTTTTTTGGGGTCTCGTCAGAAGGAGCGCGTGACCCAGATGGAAATTGTTTGTGCTAGTTGAGGGCCTTATCTAGACGACCAGGTAGACTGAACACCACTACAAATAAGTGGGTGGATGGAGGGAATTGGCACGAGGGGGGGGTGACCTGGAAAGGTGCCAGAAGAGAGAGAGCCAGAGAGAGAGAGAGAGAGAGAGAGAGAGAAAGATACAAGCTTGAAAATACCTGTACAACCGGCACTTCCGCTTGGAACTACGTTTTAAAGGGGCCGCGCAGGTGCGGTTCAAGGATTTCACTACGACGCGTCGCTGTCGCGTTGCGTGCACCAGAAGCAGCAGTTGTTCATCGACCTTTTGCGATTTCTTATCATTGATGCATTGATCTACATTAGTCTCCTAACAATGAGGCAGTCCAGCAGAGATCCTTTGGGGATATGCCAAATTTCAACTCAAATCTTCAAGGCAAGCTAGCAGAGAACATTTACGCTCCAGCTGGATTTTCCCGAAATTTTCTACTCTCGCCACTCCACAAAGTTGCAAATCCAGCAACTTCCAGCGATTTTGCAGCTCTCTCTCCCACTCAAAATTGGCCACATTTCCGGCGCCCCCTCGACCAGCAAAAAAACGAGACCAAAACCGGGGGTGGCCCGGAAAATTGGGCCCCGATATGCTAAGAGGGGCTCTGGAGGAGAGGTGGCCGGAAATCCTGAACGGGGGCCAAAGTAGGGGCCCATTTGGACCCCACATTCCAATGGGGGAAAAGTGCTTATAGGAAAGAAAAAAGAAAGAAGTGCTTGGGACCTTTTAGGGGTTAGGGATAAGCCGTGTCCGGTCGATGGAGGGGATGGGATAAGCCGGTGGAGCGGAGGAGGAGGAGGTGGAGGATGAGGTGATGGATTTAATCTACGATGGCTTGGGCTGCAAATAGTTGAAAATTTGCATATGGTAGATCGGATTAGCATATACTTCTCAAAGACTCTCGGCCAATTTTCCCCCTGGTTACGGCTCGTTGCTTTTCAACAACTTACCAGGCTCGGTTTCCCAAATGTTCTCTGCTAGCTCGCTTCGAATTTTCTTAGCTAGATACCTCTAATAAGTTCCTGCTCCCCTAGCCTCCAGACAAATCCAATCATGGCCCAGTGCCCCGATTTTGCAAAGATAGAGGCCGGTCCCTCGGGGCTTTCGAGTTCCGAATTGAAGACCCAGAAGGGAGCACAAGAAACCTTCGGAGGGTCCTCTTCTAGAAGCGAGAGAGAGAGAGAGAACCGAACTGCCCCACTTCTTAGGGCCCATCTCTCTGGGCCTTCTGCCTGGCCACTAAGGCCCTTCCGAAGTGGATTCTGAAGTGAGTAGAGTCCAGTTCTCCCCAGCAGTTGTTTTTGACAGGTCTGAAAGTGGAGCCCGAGGGTGATGCCCTGAAGTGGACAGCGTTTAGTGTGAAAGCCGGAAGTTTTGGAGCGTTTTTAATTGGATGGGGGCGTAGGCGGCTTGGGTTTATTTAATTACGCAACCAAATGGGGTTGAAAAATATGTTTTTCTAGCCTCAAAGTATGGAAAATATGGTGGGAAGGTAAAAACTGGTGTAGCTCAGAATTTTGCCTCTAAACCACCTAAAAGTCAAATATCCGGATCGAATTTGTCTTAAAAAGTACTTCTAAAAAGTTTGTTAGCGAGTTTATCATCGAAATTCGACTGTCCGATTTTAAGGCATTTTGAAGCCGTGGATATTTTGACTTCCAGGTCCCTTCCAGAAACGTCGTGAATTCTAAGAAGCTTCTCAACCATCCTTAAGAGCCCAGAAATTCCTCCAGATTGCTCCCCATCTTCGCAACATTTCGAATTGGGCCCCCGAGGCTCCCAGAAAGTTCCCAGGGCTCCCCCCAGTTCTTTTTTTCTGCGCTCTGCAAGTAGCCGCTGGGCCCCTGGGACCCGTCTAGTCCAAGTGGGTTCAGTTTTCTCTCACTCTCTCTCTCTCTCTCTCTCTCTCTCTCTCTCTCTCTCTCTCCCGCTCTCTCTCTCTCCTATCTAGGATCGATAGAACCCGCCGTCCATTTCTTTGGGTCTCAGGCCAGAAAAGGCAAAAAAGGAGGCCATTTCCTGGGTGTCCCCCTTAGGGCCCTCTTTTAGTACATACAGAAAGTGGCCCAATTCACGCCCCAACGGAGCCGTTTAGTCTAGCGGAACTACTACTGGGAAGTTGGAATGTTTAAAGGGACAGTGAAGGCAGTGGGTAGATCTTTTATGGTTTGGAATTGATATCGGCCAGAGGAGAGAGAGAGCGAGAGAGAGAGAGAGAGAGAGAGCGAGAGAGAGAGAGAGAGAGAGAGAGAGAGGGAGAGAGAGGAGAGAGAGAGAGAGAGAGAGAGAGAGGGAGAGATGGAGAGA